GCAATTAGCTGCACCTGGCTTGTACCTGTAGCTAGAAGGTAATAAGAAACACGTTGAACTGAGCTCTCTTAACAGTTTTTGAGCTGGCTAACACTAGCACAAACAACAACTTAACGTTGTCATCTTGCAGCCTTCTTTATACCCCAGCAGAAAGTCACTAGCATAGCCACAACGTAGCTACATATTCTGTCTTGGCTAGTGTCTTCCTTGTTCCATCGCGCAACATTCACTGTACATGTCTCCTCAAAGTGTCGCCAAGTGCTTGCTCATGGTGAAAACTGCTGGGTCTCTGTAAATAATTTTAGAAGGAGTACGGGCTGGACCTGCTACATATGAAAAGTGTCCTGAGAGTTATGATTTGGCTCTATGCAACAACAAAAGAAATGACTGACCACTCTGATGCTTACCTATAATATGTGTTGAAAAGTATCCTAATCTTAATCTAGCCATTATTACGTATGCTTTCCCATGCATTTCTTCCCCTACTTCTCTTAGTACAAACTAATATACTCATGTCATGATCCCACTGCTAATTCTCATAGAACGTGCTTTGACATCTACACTGTCCAGCGGGTTTGGCCAGTTTGTCCACTCTCATGTCCCAGAATTCCTTTACGAGCCGCCACCCACATGAATGTGACCTTGCTTTACAATTCTTAAACGTGCAGCCATGATTTCATATCATCAGTCCTGATGATGCACTGGAATTAATACTGAGCTGATACATACGCTCATTGTTCTTTAAATACATTTGGAAGTCACCAAAATGGTGATGTTTATTTATACCAAGTTGGTTCCATTCCACAAATAGAAATTATATGTGAGCAAACACTTCCCATATGAACATTATGTTTATGAATATATATTTCATCATAACAAACAATAATAGCATATTTATCACACTCCCCTGACATATCTCATATTTAATGACATACTTATTTCTGAACTTGTAACATTCCTGATTGTATTTTTAGATACAAACTGCAAACCATGAAACACTCAACTGTAAAGTAAAGGAGGAATTGGTATGTTTCAATTTGATAACACAAGGTCCTCAGTTCCAAGGTTATTAAAGTCTCACAGTTCTTTATTTTAACAAGCATGTTCCTTCAGACCTAACCCTCACCTATTTGCATGTATGCGTGTAGAATACTGGCAAAAAAGCTCTGGGCTGAAGGGAGTAGAGACTAATCTCAGTTATGCTGTAAACCAGTGATAAGTTTCCCTCTCCCTCTCACTCAAACACTGACAAATGACCTTTGAGATACTGGTCACCTTTATTCCTTTAGTAATAGATAATAGAAAGCAAAAGTAGACAACCACAGCCTGTAATAAGAAAACATCAACTGACTGGTCACATTGCTGGAGTACTTCCCAAACACACGAGTTACAAGTTTAATCATCAAACATTTAATAATTAAACACAGCTTTATTGATTGCTGAAAAGCAATCACAATTTTCACACAAACTTCACAAACTTGCTAGAGTGCAACTAAACCCTTTAGTAAATATAATGTGTACTTCAGCATGAAAACTTTCTCTTGGAAACATCACAAATCACTGCTCAGTGAATCATTCATTCTTTTATATTACTGCTACTTTACGATGACAGATTTTCTAATGTTCCGGCAAAACTGTTTAACAATATCATTCCTCCTCGCCCCTTATAGTTCTGTGTGTCAGGGAGTTTGTGATCAGCCAACACTGCATGTGTCACAACACAAAACTGCATGTCAATCTTTAGTACAGATGCATATCTCTTGGTAAATACAAAGTGTGTTCGCTCACATTAGGTGGCAAACTATGTAATGCAGACCCATTCATTTACTGTGAATCTATTTATTAAAACAACAAGCAGGTAGTCCCTAAAACAAGGTTTGAACCTACAGTTTGTGATCTGAAGCCACATAGTTTGTATACAGATGCATTATTATGACTTTTCCCTCATGTTGTTCTGTGTGAGGTCATCTATTACTCTGGTATGCAGAGGAGAAATAAATCTCCCTTTCCGTCGAACTTGCTCACCTGAATTCCTTTAAAAAGATCTCATTCCTTCTGCGTGTTTCTAGAGGTTATGTTTTTACAAAATCAAGAAAGGTGCATTATCACAAAGTATAAATAAAATTATCTCTATCTCTAAACACTGAGGTATTATTCTAATACCCTTGACTGTGTTGAGTATCTACATTCTAGGCCCAAAGCCCAGATGGTGTTGCTGTGATGTAATCCTGCCCAGTGACTTGTTAAGCAAACATACAGCTTTCAGTGTTTCTGTTCTAAAGACTGATTTGACTTTGCTGAGACTCAGCTGATTAGCCATGCAAATTGTACTGTACTTTTAAGCAGCTCTGACTGTGAATGAACAGCAACAAGCCCTACTCCAGCTCATGATAGACATTACCCCACCCTTGTGTCTGAACACATACTGCATGCCAGGAATGTAATCCTACAGTAAATCTTCAAGTGTCCAAATATGGGAATTTTTTATATTTCAAAATGATATGAAATGATCATCTGAAAGATCTGTGCAAAGACTCTTGAATGGTGATTTCCATTTTTGTTTCTATTTTTCTTTTAAATCAGATAAAATCTGAATTGCAGATGAATATATACATATAACTTTATACCTTTTATTTACATGTCTGCAAACAAACTTGGAGCTACAGTATATATCAGTGCTGCTACAAAGATGGGATAAACAAAAAGGAGGACATGTATGGCTCCACCCAGGGATGAAACATTACTTCCGTTCCCAAACTCTTGTGTTGACATCTTTTTGAAACAGCCTCAGTTCAGGCTTCCTTTGCATCTGACTGGTCTACTTGGAGGATTGAGCAACAGGGACTGGGCCTGGCCCTGAGACCACTTTGAGGAACACAAAACAGAGCTCTTATAAAGACTTCTCACTAGTGATTTGCTCAGTGCTTACGTCATCCAGACACCCTTGCAAACACTATTATGCTTGGGAGGCAGGATATTCAAGAGTTGCAGGCTGGATTTTTCAAGACAACACCCTTTGGTAGCTCTGGGAGTGTATGTCATTTCAGTTCACTCTGGGATTTTCTGTCTGGCAGTTATTATGGTCACACTTTTCCCTTTACTTTAACTCTCTTTGGGACTTATTCCCTTGGACTGATACCGGCAGTGTTTTCTTCCTCATGCTTCAGTTTTAGGACAGCTGCATACCAGGGCAACAAGAAACACCACCTAAGTAAACAACTGAGGTGTTAATAAAGTCATTAGCGGTCAGCCTCTGCATCTGCAATCAGTCCAATTGGTCACTTTCTTTTCTTTTTTTTTTAAAGTATTTCTTTGGGCTTTTATTGCCTTTATGATAGAGACAGCTGAAGATAGAGAGGAAAGGGGGACAGAGAGAGGGGATGACACGCAGCAAAGGGCCGCAGGTCGGATTCGAACCCTGGGCTTCTGCAGCAAGGACTCAGCCTCAGTACATGGGTCGCCAGCTCTACCCACTGAGCTAACTGGGCGCCCCCATTGGTCACTTTCTACAAAAACAGAAACATTAGTCAACGTAAACTGTGCCTTTTCATTTCCATGTTTGGTAGCAGTGGCTGGAACTAAACGTCTGACCGATCCCACTAATCAGCAAACAATCACAGTTCAGTGAAAGGCACAATATAAGGCAACACTACTACTAGTCAATTACTGGCTGCTAAGAGGTGACGTCATCCAGAAAGTTCAAAACAGCAGCCAAGCTTTCCGCTCTTGCAATAGTGGAAAAGCAGAAACTTTAATCAGCGAGAGCCAAAGTTCTGTGAGCCATTTGTTTCTGCAGCTGCTGGCAGTGTGTATGCAGTGACAAGGACTCAACACACTCAGTAATATAGTTTAGATTTACTGTTTTACATTCCAGTCAAGACAGTGAACGCAAATACTGGGGCTACATTTGACCAAATAAGGCACTTAATTGTGGTTTTGGATGCTCTTGGAAGTAAAAGACACTGTTTACACAATTACACAAATAAGTTAAAGCACAGCACGAGTTGTCTGAGGGGACTGATCCAGACTTCATACAGAATCCAAGACAACACCTCCACCACTACCAACATAATCCCAAATCTTATGATCTCATTTCCAGGCAATGAACTGCGTGCAGGAATAGCATAATGACACCAGAGCTCCAATGATGCAGACTCACACTTTCTAAATGAGCACACTTTTCGCTCTGTATAAACTATTCCACTAGGCCAAACCAATAGAGAGCCTATAAATAAAATGATGTAGTTTTCAGATGTTATCTAATGGGCACCATCCTCCTCTGACTGCTATTAATCGTGCTGATAATACTGTTCAGGCTGACTAAGGATACGTTTTATCAATCACACACAAACAGTTCATAAAACCGCCACAAACCACACAGATATCACGCTATGCACTGAGTCATCCTGTAACTGAACTTCTTCTTTGTGTATCTATGTATTAAAACAAATATATTGAAGCCTGCCTGTCACAACAAGAATGCTTTTCAAAGAACTTTCAGGTGATGTATTGACAGGAATAATCACATAATGCAATGAGTGCTTTCAACGGTAAAGCACTTAGTGAAACACTATCTCTTTTACTCTAAACAGCTATTAGCTGCTCTGTATTGGGCTGCATTAAATACTAAGAACAACACATCAATAACTTTTTGAGCCTCATCCTGCACTAAACAGAGCTGTGCTGTACTGACAGCATGCTGTTTACTAACTGTCCTGGAGTTATGTGTCCACTCAGCTTGGTTTGACTTGACTTCACTGTAAGGTTTATACTGACTGAGAAATAAAACTATTAGAAAGGCTAAATCTTCAGTGCAATGAGCTCAGTTGAGCAGTTTTTACAACAGAGGAATAAAGTACAGTAGTGAAGCTTTCTACAGCTGTTGAGTAGTACAACTTTCTCAGCCTTACTAAAGTTGAGAGTGAATTAACCCTTGCTTGTGGGATTACAGGATATGACTGCACACTACTTCCATGCAATGAGCCAGTGTGAATACCTACCAGCTTTTTGTTTTTACCCTCATCCTCGCTGGACTTCTTTTTGGAGGGTTTGTTCGGGTCGTCCCCGCCGCTGGCTTGATCCATATTGCCTTCTGAGTGAGTTCCCCCTCCAGAAAACCCCTACTGCGACCTCCTCAAAAAGTTTGCAAACTCCACCAGCAAGCTTTTTAAAAACACTTGTGCAGGGAAACCATCCAGGTTAGGTCTTTTCAAAATCCATTCCGTTTAAAGGTAAAGCATAGGTTCAAGTTGTCCGCTTCCAAATATTTCCCGAATAGTATCCAACAGCCGAGGAGGCTACTTGAAGAAGAAAAGGTGTGGTGGGATATGATATCCGTCCCGATGCCTCCCTCAGCTCAGCTGTAAGTCAGTTCACACCGCTGGTAAAGGACTCCTGAAATGACCAGAGCATTACGTAAACGATAAATTACCAGTCTATCATAATGTCTCGGTGTTAAGTTACAGAAATGTTTGACTTAACACGTGTCTCCCTGAGCAGTCACATTAGTACGCGGGTAGCAGGCAGTGATAACGTGAACGGTAAAACAGATGTAAACAAACATGAGGTAGCTATAGATAGCTCGGTTCAAATAAACATAAAAAAAAACAATGTGTTTCAACACTTACAGACAAAGCCCTGAGCTTGGAAACAGGCTAAATGACCAAACAAAGCAAACTTACAACCGTGTAACTTAGCCATAACATAGTAGTAAGACACAAAATAATGTTTCATGTCAGCAGGGATGCTCCGACAGTTCTCAGGGTGCACTAACAAAGCCGGTATTGGGCTGAGAATACAGTCATTAATCAATATTAACGAACAGTTGTTATAATAGTGGGGGGAAATCACCGTTGTTCTCTCTGCTTGGAATACTTTGCAGTGCTGTACACTTAGCTAGGCTAGCATAAATGGACGGCCGTTACCTAGCGAACATTATTTATTTTAACAGACAAAATCATACACAACTACATACAACGGTGTGTTATAAATTACAGAGTGGACAATAGATAACAAGCCTAAGAAAACTCTCAAAATCCCATCCAGAGCTTACCTTTCGCAACCGAACGTGAATGCCAGGCCCACGGTGATCCCGCCCATCCAGCTTCTGATTGGCCCGTGAGGTACGCAAGGAGTGGGAATTCCTGTCGCTATTGGTCAGGTTTTCTGACAGTCATAAGGTCGGCGTGGCGACGAGGGGGGAGGAGACTTGTGACGACGAGGTCAGTGGTGATTTCACTATAAGCGGGTGGGACTCAGTCAATGGACCAATGTCCTCAGTCAGTTGTTAGGATTGATCCAGGAGTGAATTATGAAAGGCTGGCCGCGGACTGGAAGCCGGGCGGGAACGGAACACACCTAACACACACACCTTTCTGTGTTTGTGTGTGTAATAATAACTGCTGGCGGTATTGTACAGTTACCTAGTTACATAATAGAGCGCATCATACATGCCTAATTGTCTGGTTGTCTGTTGCATAAAGAACAAAGTTATATTTTTTCTGCCTATGAAAGAAGGATTTTTTAGGGGAACAAAGTTTGGAAAAAAAAAAAACATGTATATAATCTCCTGCCAAAAACCTGATGCTGAAACGACAGGTTGATTCATTTATTAGTCAGTAGAGAGAATTAATCAATAACAATGTCAACAGTATGTTCATTCTTTACCTTTGAAACATCATCTGCAGAGTTTGATCACTTAATGGAAATGACTCATCATCAAATGTCATTATGTGCCTAAGTATGGAACTTTGTTCTTTTAATAAAACACTGTCATATCATGATCAAAAAAATGTATCAGTGTATCAGTGTGTTTAATTTGGTGACATCCATTGCAACCAAGTGAATACTTCTCACCTTCCAAGCGTGTAAAAGAGAAAAACATGAAAGGTGTAGTTATGAGTTATGAGTGTCTGTTTTGTCTGTTCTGTGCAACCAGTGTGGCAGACTCTGCAGAGGACCCGCTCCCTCTGTAGATTAAAACAGCTTTCTAAGGCAATGCAAAACACAACAATTCTTATTTTCGGGTTTACACTAATGAAAACATACCTATGAATAATATATTCCATGTCTGCCAATATATCTGTTGCTAGGCAACCAGCAGAAACTCCAGGAAGTTACTGGTCCCAGTAAAAAAAAAAAAAAACATTTGTATGGATGAAACAAATAACATATAACATGTTAATTAGAGCACTTTAGAAGTGCTGGTGTATAAGCGGTTGGAGAGATCCAGGCTTTGCTGTTTCCTTCTGTTTCCAGTCTTTGTGCTAAGCTAAGCTAACCAGCTGCTCACAGTATCTTGGTATTTTAGTGGTATCAATATTCTCATCTTACTCTTGGCAAGAAAGCCATTGAGAGTATTTCCCAAAATGTTGAGCTATTCCATGTTGTCATTTAATGGTATGTCAAATGTAACCTACCTATGGCCTATTTTGCTGTTTCATCTTCTTGTGCCACTTTTCTCCATTTTATATAGACCTAATGGTACATTGAATATCTTTTTAAGATATCACTTTGGGCTCTGAGAAACTCTAATAGTAGCATTTTTCACAGTTTTTTGTTAATCAATAATTTTATTGTATTGTATCCCTACTAAAAGGACTCATGAATCATTTTTCTGTTGTAGTATGTTAACACTGAGTAATCCATATTGAGGATAAGGTTACTGGAGCACAAAAAAAGTTTATGGCCACAGTATGCAGGTGCAGTCTTCTCAAACTGGTCTTTTGATAAATGAGTCTGACTCACTCTTTGAGGTCACTGATTCTCCAGTCTGGATCATATTTCTTCTCTGAAACAATAAGTTATCTTGTGCAAATAATACAAGTTCTTGGTGGGTAGAGCAAATATGGTAATGTGCATTTAGAAAGTCAGATACAGTTAGCGACTCATATGCCAGTGATTGCAAAATATTCAACTGAGCACAGTCTTGTATTTGCAGAATTTTAACCTCTCTTTTTCTAGACAGAGAGTTCTGATGTTTAAGGAGTATGGTGCATTTGCACAATTGGGTCACACATCTTTCCTGTAGTAAGTATCATGTTATGAACTTGGATTATGGCACTCAAGAATCTCAATACTGTGATCAATGCTATGGCCTCAGTTCACCATTTTATTTTCTATGTTGATGTGTTTCAGCCAATGCATGATTGAGGCCTCAGCAGCATGAGTGTGTGTGTTTGGTCTTTAGCATCCCTAGCTGTACGATGGTCTAACTCTGTGTTTGATGGTTCACAAAAGTTTTAATGAAGACACTCAAAGACCTTGTGCCCTTGTCAACCAAGTGATAAGCAATTACAATTTTGCCCTTTTGTTGGGATGACAGGGACAGAGTGATTTGTCTTCTACTTAAGGAGTAGGTGTCCAGTTGTCTAGGTGCCCCACAAACTCCAGAAAAGTAATAATTTAACCTCCCTATTGTGTTTGGATCAATATTGACCAATTTTCAACTTTAAACTTTAGAAAATGTTTTTTAATTTATCTGATCATCACGAGGTGTCATGAACCTTCACGCTAGATATCCAAACACATCTTGATGACTGTCCTGAAAAATATTCCTTCTGGCCTTCGACCACGTAAATCAACTATTCCAAACTACTGAAAACATAGCAAGATCTCACATCTAGTTACAGTCAAACATTCACTTGCTACAGTTCCTTCTCTCTCACAAATCTCACTTCTCCAATCAAGAAAGCCAAACATTAGAACCAAAATATTGCTAGTAATCAGAACAAATGTTGATCTGACCGCATGACCAAACACTCATCAGTCCTGGTAGTTTTGGTTTATAAATAAAGCTCTTCTCTGCTGCTCATGCAATTCTCTGGCATGTGATCATCATGTGCAAGCAGCTAACTGTAAATAAGGCAACTGATCTCTTTTTTGTATCATTTCCCTAATGAGCATTACAATATAGAGCCTGAAGACATGGTGGGAGAAGAAGCCTCTAAGATATGGTAAAATACTAAAGAATATCATCAAAGTTCATGAACATTATATACATATATATACACATATTGAGGCATTTTATTCTGAACCACAAACATCACCTCATGGTGGAGCTGGAGGAAAGGGGATCCCCAAAGTCATTAGGATTCATCCTCTGGGGAACATATGTGTATGAAAATATGAGCCAATCCATGCTGTACATGTACAGATATTTCTCCATTGGTGTAGTGCTACTGGAAATATTTGCATTTGGCATAATCCAGTTGAAATTCATACACATTTTGCATGCACTTAAAGATCCAATCATTGCTAAGTAATCATTTAACCTCCCTGTTTATGTGATGCAAGAGAGGCATAAAAACAAATATAATGGTGACATGAGTTACATGCAAGAAAACATTCCAGCCATGTCCATAGCTATGTCAACTAGTAAATATGAAAATGCAGCAAAACATCCTTTCATTCATCATTTCACACACTTCAAAAAACACTTCTGATGATTTCTTTGTGATGCATTTGCAAAGAAACATTACAAAGCCAGTCTGATAAACTACACACTGCCTGCAGGAAGTGAAAGCTTGCTCAGTTTTCATAGTCTAACCTGCTAGATGAGCTTGACCTCTGCAAGCACTTCAAGTTCTCAGAATGGATGTTTCATATGTCAATTCTAACAGCGAATGCAACCAATTTCATGCTGTAGTCGCTTATAGTTAACTAATGTATTTACTTGCCACTGTAGGACTGTAACCTTCAAAACAAGCCACATCTTAACTGCGCGTGCACACATGTGCTCTGGTACTTAAACAACAACAAATAGCACTACACCTCTGTATTTCATTGTATAAATGATATGTATAACTTAGATATAGTTGTACCTGCTGGTGGCACTAATTGAAAAGATCACCAAAGCCGCTGGGATTCATTTTATGGGTACCATGACCATCTGCACCAAAATTCACGGCAATCCATCCAATAGTTGATGAAATGTTTTTCTAGAAACAAAACCTTATGGTGGTGCTTGAAGAAAAGTCAGGTGCTCACCAAAGTCAGTCCAATTTATTTTCAGGGGACCATGAATGTCTGTACAAAATCTTATGACAATCTGTCCAATAGCTAGTGAGATATTTTAGCTAGGACCAAAGCGACCAACTGACATTGGCATCCATGGAGCCACGCCACTAGCATGGCTAAAAAAAGATGATGAAGAGGACCCTGTGGCCTCATATATATAAACAAATGATAGCCTGTTGGCTTGTAGTGTTATTCTGTACCATCTTAGACATGTCAGCCCACAGCCTCTGTGGTGTGGCAGCAAATCAACCTAGCATGGGGAGCACCATGACAGCAACGTCCACACACAGCAGGTTCAGCCAGTTTGGTGAAAGATGCAGGGTGAGGGAGGGAAGAGCTTCTCCTGAATAAAGAAATACAAAAAAAGGAAATGGCAGCATCATCACAAGAGCTGTAAAAACCACCATCATGTGTCACACGGGCAAAAAGTTGATTTGCAAGTCACATGCTATCATATTGCAACTCATGTAAATGATGAACACCCACAAACACAAACAGCCAAACAATTCACCCACACGCCTGCAGCTATGAGCACAGACTTGCAGTGGACTATTCTACAACTGGATTCGAGATTTATCAAGTTAAACTGGGCTGTTCATGGTATAGTAAATCATTTCACAGGTTCAATTAAAGGTAAATGTTCACATGGAAAATAATTTCTTTATCAATAAAATCAATTCGACCGAATACAAAACAGATGTCAATATGATGTCAAATCATGTTTCTTATTGTGTTTGTTATACTAATCAATGATAACTATATTTTTTTAATGCTTATATCCCAAAACCACATGGTAAAAAATAAAGTAATACAAAAATAATAATAATGAATAACTTCCATAAACTAATTAGTTGAAAATGTGTTATTTAATTAAATCATGAGTTGCATTTATGATTTATGTCCGTTCTACTGCAGGAGTGATAGTTGACTTGGTCCCCTACTGGTTTTAATAATGATTTTCAACACAATAAGAGTGCATACAATAAGTTACTAACATGCTTTTTAAGCAAT